AAAGAAAGAAAGAAAGACAAAGCAACATTAGCATCTAATCAAATATCTTTTCGTTCCAATTTCCTACAAGAACAATTACAAGTATCTCACATGCCATCCTGATTTTGTCCGTCTCCCGGGGTATGAGAAGCGTCTACGCCGTGAAAAGCATCTCCAAACGCGGAATCCTCCATGTCCATCTGAAGGTCTAAGCCATCATCTAGTCCACCTGCTGAGCCGTCTAGGTCTGGAGCGTCATATCCCGCCAGGGCATCTCCCGCCGTATCTAGGTCGCCTAGAGAGCTAAAGTCATTCTGGTCAAAAGATACGGAGCCTCCGTCGGTAACCGCAGGAGTGGCCGCTGCTGAAGGTGCCTTTGCAGCTGTTGGTGTCGGCGGTTTGGCGTCATCACCCTCTGCACTGGCAGCGGCAACAGGAGCAGGAGCGGGGTCAGAGACGGCAGCAGCAGTTGTGGTAGCGGCAGCATCGGTGGGACCTTGCGTCGTCGTCTGAGTCGTATCATTAGCCGTTGCATTGTCGCCATCTTTGGGAACTACAACCCAATCTCCACTACCGGTGCTATGATCGGGCGTAGTTCGTACCTCGTTCTCGGTGGCAGTATCAGTTCCGCCCATCTCTACATCGCTAGATGGCTGTGGCGGAGCGGCGGCGGCGGCGGGAGCAGATGGCGCCGATGCGGGTACGGGCGCAGGTGCCGGTGCCGGTGCTGGTGAGGCGGCATTTACCGCTTGCGATGGCGTAGCCGCGCCAGACGGACCGGCGGATAGATGAGCTTGAGGCGTCGGGAAGTTGTTGACTGGTGTTGACGTAGAAGAGAAGCCGGTATGCATTTGGTCCAACAATCCAGATGCTGTATCGCCCATGTCCATGTCAGTTTCACCCATCATTGCACCGCTTGCTTGAGACCCCGCCCGAGATGGCTGTCGAGAGAGCTCTGCGGCTGAGCCTGGGGCCAACGGTTCAGGAGCGGGAGGCTGATAACCACCGTCTTGAATCCGCTTGGAGAGCGGTAAGCTGACAATCTTTCGACCTGATGCTGACTCTACCTGCTGTACTATTTCTTCAACTGAGTGTTTAGAGACTTGGCGACCTGCGGGCTCTTCATCCGAATGAGCTCGGTTTTCGTGTTTGGGGCCATCCGCAATGGCTTTGAGTTCTCGCTCCTTGATCTTCAGGATAGAATTCTCTTTGAACGCAGCCATTGTTTTGCGGTGTTCTTCTTCCATCTTTTTGATTTCATCCTGGGTCGTAGAAACGTATTTGTCGACTCGCTTGCGGAACTCGTCAGCCTGACCGGGGTCCAGACGTCCGACATAGGACTTTTCGGGAGCTTGGCTGTAGGCTTCGCCTCCCTGAGCAGTGAAAATACCCTCCGTTAGAGACGCCAGTTCCCCCTTGAGACCCAAGCCGAGATCTGCGGGTGTGATCTGACCTATTCTGTACGCAGAAGACAGAATCTCCTCCATCCACTCGTGATTTTGTTGATAACGGCTCATTGAGATCTCTCTCGGGGTCAAGTGGTCAAACATGTCTCCCCTTGAGATATCTTCATCGTCATCAAAGGCCGCATCGACCGGTGGCATTCCCGGAGGTAACGCCGCTTGCTGGCCCTGATTCTGTCCATGGCGGGCTCTCTTTGAGGGAGGCCCAGGTGGTGGTGGTTGCGCTGGGTATGCCATCTGCTGAGGCACACCGCGAGGGTTCATCTGGGGTCCAAGTTGTTGACGAGTGAGCTCCGGCAGTGAAGGCCAGTTGACTCGATCAGACAGCATAAACTCCTTTCGGCGAATCTGGCCGGCTCTCTGGAGAAAATGGCGCTGCTGCATGATGGCATTGACTCTCTCGTCGTATGGGATCATGGCAACAGGGACGCGATCGTTCATTTCCGCAGGGCCGTAGTGCACAATGAACAAGTTTGGATCTGGCTGCGGAGGGTTGGGGTGTCCAGCGACAGGAACGAGTCGGAATCGTCTTCGAGCGTGGAGGGTGAATTGCTCGCCAGGGATGTAGCCTGCCTTGAGGTAGTAAATCTCAAGCATCTAGACAAGCAACAATTAGTATGTGTGCGATTTTGTTTGGGTAGCTAGTCAAACAAACCAGTCCGTTACCCAGATCATGCTTATAGATCTGCTCTGGTGGTGCCCAGACGAAGCCATCTGTCGCGAAATTGGTCCCCAGTCTCGATAAAGGCTGCCACGTCAGTAGGATGGTGCCATCGGCGGGCTTATCGAGGTATGTCCAGAAAAAGGGCGCTTGGTCTCTCGCGATTTGAGGGGCATTTATCAGCCATTTGGCAACCTCGTTGAAATCGAGCCGGGGGATCGCTGGGTATCGGTACGATGAGATCAGGTGGACATGTGGCATCTATCCCGCTTCATTAGAGACAGCTCGGAGTTGGGAAAAAAAGAAAAAAAAAAAGATTGACGACTCACAAGGTCCTGGGGGACGCTGTGGCTAGGATTCAGTTGCGCCATGTTGGCTGCTGTCGGCCGCGCAGCCTCTCGGGCGACCTTTTACAGCAGTGGGAATGGCGACAAGGGTTGTCGAGTCTGGCGGCCCCAAGCATCCAAAGGGCGCCAGGAGATTGTGCTGAGCGATATGATTGTGGTTCGGGCGCAAGGCACGCGGCAAGCAAACGAGCGAGCCGATGGGATGGCGATGATGCGGAAGCGCAATGTCCAGGATCTGGGCGATGCGAGTTGCAGAGAGTGCGGCTGCCGTTGCGTCGCGCGAGCCCAAATTTGTCGCGACGAGGCTGCAGCAGCGTTGTAGCGAATGGTAGGCCAGGATTGGCTATAAAGGTGGGTCCATAACCTGCTGGGTGCTATCGCAGCGCAGTAAGACAAAGTACCTACTAGAGGTAGATATCATCACAATACTGCCTGTGCTGTACACGTTTACGGTTAAATGGTTGTGTGCATGTGCACAACAATACTATTTATTTAGTCTTCATTCCTTTCTCTTCTTCTCAATTCTTCGTAATTGATGGATTGGTGGCCTCTCTTGTTATATACAGCTGGAAGCCCCCAGGAGGAAAGATGTCCTTCCGTTGTATCTCTCTAGTTGGGGTTAAAACAATGCTACTACTACGCATCTACACGTTATACACATCACAAGCAAACTTGGTGGCTTCAATTGGTTATTTTTACTTTTTTTTATATATAAATTTCGCACTGCAAACCTAATTATCCCATTTTATGTAACATTATCATTGCTATTCATACCCAACTTGTTATTTTTCAGCCCCGCTCCAAGCATCTCTCCCTTATGCCTGGTATGTTGAGGCAGAGACGTTACCACCGCGGCCGGTCCAGTTGACGTGAATGTCCTTGCCAGTCTGGTACTTCTCTGAAGCAAACTCAGGCTTGATGTGGAAGGTGTGAGCACCGAAGTAGTCACGCTGAGCCTGCAGCAGGTTGGCGGGCAGATCCTTGGTGCGGTATCCATCGAACCAGGACAGAGCAGTGGAGAAGGCAGGAGTGGGGATACCAAGCTCAGCAGCCTGGGAAACGACGGCTCTCCAGCCAGGCTGGGCCTTGTGGATGGCCTCGTTGAAGAAGTTGTCGAAGAGCAGGTTCTTCAGGTCAGGCTCGTTGCGGTAAGCAGAGGTGATGTCCTTGAGGAAAACGGATCGGATAATGCAGCCACCACGCCACATGAGGGCGATGGAAGGCTTGTTGAGCTTCCAGTTGAACTCACGGGCAGCCTAGTTAAAGAATTGCGAGTTAGTTACACGTCCTCGAGTCATTAAATGCAAGTCATCTTCTTACCTCCTGCATGAGCATGAAGCCCTGGGCGTATGAGATGATCTTGGAAGCGTACAGAGCCTGCTCGAGGTCCTCCAGGAACTGCTTCTTGTCACCCTCAAACTTGCCGCTGCCACGGGAAACATATCGGAGCTTGGTGGAGGCCTCAGAACGCTCATCCTTGATTCCAGACAAGCATCGAGCCAAGACAGCCTCGGCAATCAGGGTAACAGGCATACCAAGGTCGAGAGCGTTGATGGCAGTCCACTTTCCGGTACCCTTCTGGCCAGCCTTGTCGAGAATCTTCTCAACGAGGGCAGTGCCGTCGTCGTCGTTGAAGTAGAGGATATCACGAGTGATCTCAATCAGGAAAGAGTCGAGAACGCCCTTGTTCCACTGAGCGAAGACGTCACCAATCTCCTTGCTGGAGAGTCCGAGACCACGCTTCATGATGTCGTAGGCCTATGCACAAGCTCTGTCAGCTTTCAAATTCCCAGAGATCAGACGTTGATTGGAACTAGGGCCGAGCTTACCTCGCAAATGAGCTGCATGTCACCGTACTCAATACCGTTGTGGACCATCTTGACGTAGTGACCAGCACCTTCGTCGCCGACCCACTCACAGCAGGCCTCGCCATCGCTCTTGGCAGAAATGGCCTGGAAGATATCCTTGATGTATGGCCAAGCCTCCTCGTTACCACCGGGCATCAGAGAGGGGCCGAATCGGGCACCCTCCTCACCTCCGGAAACACCGGAGCCGACAAATCGGATGCCCTTGGCGCTCAGCTCCTTGGTGCGGCGGTTGGAGTCGGGGAAGTGAGAGTTACCACCGTCAATGATGATGTCTCCCTTCTCAAGGAGGGGCAGGAGTCTCTCAATCCACTCGTCAACGGCCTTTCCGGCCTGGACGAGGAGCATGACACGGCGGGGGGACTTGAGGCTGGCGATGAACTCCTTGTCGTTGTGGGCGCCGACAACGGACTTGCCCTTGGCCTCGTTCTCGAGGAAGGCATCGACCTTGGAAACGGTTCGGTTGTAAGCGCAGACGGTGAAGCCGTTGTCAGCCATGTTGAGAATCAAGTTCTGTCCCCTGTAGCACTGAGTGTTAGCAATTGATTGAAGCGGCTTTTGAAGCTTGATTCGGAGTGGAATGGTTTGCAACTTACATGACAGCAAGGCCGATAAGGCCCAGATCCGCGCTTGGTACAATGTTAGCATTTCCTGAAGCTTCGGCTGGAGAAGAGGAGGAATCAGGTTGCGTGGCACCGCCAAGCTTGATGTTGGCGAGGCGAGCGCTACCTCAGGCATGAGCAGGGTGCAGAAGAGAGAGAAAGTCGGGAAAAAGAAGCAGGATTGTGCAGAAGCTTGGGGGAGAAGAGAGAGAGCTGGAGCTGGAGAGAGGTAGAGGTTGAGGTAGAGCCGAAACAAGCAAGATGAGGCACTCATTCCGGCACCTTCACCATCGCCGCCGCCGCCACAACCAGTACCGATCAATCACCAGAACATTGCCTCCACCATGACCACAGCTCGAGCTCAACACCAAACAAAGCCCGCGATGTCGCCGGCTCGGTGCGGGAATTGAGGTCATCGAGCAGTAATCGGTTGGGCTTTTCAGGGCGGGGTGGTGGGGTAGGAACTGGCAGCAAAAGGCGAGGGAGGGGTAGAGAGAGCTTCTGTCCTTGTCCCAACAGCAGCGCAGGGAAGTGACTTACACAGGGCCAGACATTGTGTGTGATTTATTAGAGCAAGGACGGGGAATAGAGATCAGACAAGCGAAGCTATCGCCAGATCAACAACCAGGAATTGCGAGTTGGAGAAGAAAGGAGAGAAGAGAAGCAACGTTTTCGCAGATAGGGAGGGACGGAGCAAGTAAATATAGTGGGAACGCAGATGGGCCGGCTGAGCGCCCAGCAACGCCCAGCAGCCCAAAAAAGATCCATGAGCGCCCTGGAACGAGGTTTTGGCCTACGCAAGTCCCGGAGGGCCCCAGAAAAGCGGGCGGCCAGGCGGTGATTGGCGCGAGGCGGCGCATCGTCATCTTCCTGTTTCGCCGCCTTGCTGCGAGGCTTTTAGGACTCGTCTACCTCTAACGCAGGCCTTAACGCTAGCCTGTGTTTTATCACAAGAAGCTCTGACCGCGAAACTTTGGGCATTCGTTGGGGGTCACAGCGTTGGACTTTGTGTGTTATTTCGTTGAGTCTACCTTGGTATTTAGCACGCAGACACTATTAACCTAGCAGGTAGGCAAGCTGTCACATCTATCAGGGTACAGAGCCGTAGGTACTTCCATGCAACCTACTACTAAGCTGGTACATGAACTGTAGTCTCCCCAAGTGCATCCCATGCTCCCGGGCCACTGTGGGAAATTCCGCATTCTTGTATGCTCTGCGCCGTACGGGCCACAGCCGCTTTACGGAGGATCCCATGCCATATCCATTTTGCTGATTACTGTGGCGGACACTCTTCTATTACTTGCTAGTAGCAGTATGAGCGCGCATGCCATCAACCAGCCCCACCACTCTCCCGTGCCCGGCTGCGTCGGGTTGGGTACACCATCGATTGGGGAGCGTATACTAATGATCCGGTCTTACAAGGGATCGCGAGGCACAATCACACGCATCGCTTAATACAAAGCATGGCGCTTGGTCGGCGGTGATGCCAGGAGCATGGACAAGGAGAAGGGCCTAGATGACTCGTTGCACGTTTCAGCCCCAGCTCTCATCACTCTTCCACTCACTCACTGACTGCTTGGACAGCCTACGTTCTGGGTAACATGAAGAAAACAAAAGGACAGCCACAGGCAAAGGAGGACAAGACAAGAGGCGCTTCCCTTTCAATGCCGGCGACCCTTTGAAAGTTCAAACATCATGCTGCTTCAAAGAGACCCCAGCAGCCATCTCCAGCCAAAGGGAACGTAGCCATCCATGCCCATGCTAACAAATCGGCCTTATTTAGGCGTCACTTTCCAAGGCACGTATCGTCTCATATCGCCTTCATCTGATACTCTAAAGCGATTCGCCTGTCAAGAAAAAGGAGTTTGGCTATTCTGCATGAAATGTCTCTTAGCCAGTAGTTTATCAGAAATCCCTACCGCCTTGGTCGTGCAAGCCATTCAGCATCCTCTTGTCGCTGGATTTGTTATCCCATCCCACCTTGAAGGATGAGGTAATTTGGCATTGCTAGGACCAGATGCTCCATATAATCCAATGCCTATTGCAGCCACGGGCCGAAACAACGGACAACGTGCGCTACCGACGGGGAGACACCGATGGGGAGCCATGACACCAAATGCCTACTACGGTAAGTTGTGGCTATAGCACAAGCGCAAGTCCATGACTTAATGGAGTCCCATAGAAAGAGCCCGATGGCCCATCGTATATCTACATACAGCTCTTTGTATGCATTAGCTTGGCGCCTTGCTCGGGCGAGGATACTCATGTAATACTTCCTTTCGAAAGCAACAGTATATTTGAGCTCGGTAGCTTCAAGCCAGAACCAGATCCGGTCCGAGCAAAATCCCAACACCTGCAGCTTAGTGTCTACTAACACCCATTAGTGCCCAGCACCTCGCTTCCTAAGCTTTTCGGAACAAGTTGCCTCTGTGTCTTCATTCCTACCTACCAGTACTCGAACTTGCGCCGAGTTGTGGTGCTCCGGTACCCCGCTATATGATGAAGATTTCTCCAATTTTTCGGGCGTCCAATCAGATGCGGCCCTGAAGTGCCTCTCCCACGATGCTCGGCAACGAGCGAGTAATAGAGCCCCGGTCCAACTGCGACTTTTTAATCCTACGGAAGACCCCTTATGGCCTCAGAGCCTTGCACACGAATAATGCTATCTTTTTTTGGGCTTGCCGACATCACACAATGGAATGTAGATAGCAGACTGCGTATTTTCCCCCATTGACTTTTACGCCACTACTTGAAGATTGCTGCTCAAGTAGCTACATCTTGACAATTTGAGAGTGCCCTTTGAAGCATGGACGAGGCTGTCTCCAGTACGGAATACAATGGGTGCACATCATCATCATTAAGATAGACAGACAGTCTGTATTCTATTTCCATCTTTCCCCTTCTCTCAATCCAGGTAGCACGGCGGTTAAGCTCCCTGAAAAGTGGGCGAGTTGGGGCCGCTTATAAACCGCCTGCGGGCTTTGCGGGTTTGCGGAATTAATACTAGCAGTAGTGCTGCCACGGAGGGCTGAAGGCATTTCCCGGACAAGGGAACGGCCGTATCGACGAATAGCAGCGTCGTTTGGCGGCTCATGCTTGACGTCCGTTCTCGGTTTGTGTGCATCATTTACCGTGTGTCTCATTTACCGTGCCTCAATTACCGCTTGCTTTGCCAGCGATGAGTAATGTGTATACATTGTTGAACCCACGGCTGAGCCGTTTGCACTGTTTTGCACAGCTTTGAGATCGATCATTTCTCAAAAACTCGTTCGAGTCCTGCACCGATCCGAGTTTGGAGTATGCCCGAAAGCTGCGGGTCTCCCAGCCGATCCCCGTTTATCGGACGCGAGACCGCGACCGGCGCCGTGGCCCTCTCTGAGGTCTAGTAACGCATAGCCAATCAATGGATCGTTGCGTGACGCTTGTACGCATCTCCTGCAAATTGCATGGGGGGGGGGAATGAAGCTATCACGAAGGAAAATCTAGTACCGCAGCTGTTAATCCCTAACTTTACCTTTATCTTGCTATTAGGAGCAACGTCTTGTATTTTGGATACGTTGTCCGTATCACATGACCATGCGCAATCTTACTAGAGTTTTCCATATCACGTGATACGGCTTGATGGCCTGCCGATTTTCTAGACTTTGATATCAACTACTATCAATCAACGCCACACTCTAAATCTGGCAAACTCGCCAATGCGACAACCTCCTTTCTATTTTGCTAGAGCAATAATTCGCGTTTGGAAAAGCAATCGACAAACAAAAACTGCTTATTAGTGGGGACTTTGAGCCAAAGACTGCTCAAAGGTACGTGTTTTTTTTCTCTGCCTCAGCTGCGAGAATCCCATAAAGTCAAGAGATCACGGGGTTGTTCATCATGTCACATCCTCCACCTCCAGGCACAAACCTTCCCGCGCGACCTCCCGCCAGCAACTCGAGGCCCGGGTTCAGATCGAGCTTCAACCCGTCCGGCCAGTCTGCCGCACCGCCGTCGTACGCGAATGCGAACTCTGCGCGAGCTTCCGTCCCCAGCTATCCAGCCGCCCCTGCAGCATCTGCTGCAGCCACGCACTATGGCTCGTCGTATCAATCTTATCCCAGCCGCCCTCCGGCAACGGGGGTGAGCCACTCTGCGGCGGCATATTCGTATCCTCAACAGCATCAACAGCACAGTGCTCATCAACAGCCGCAAAGCTATGCGTACTCGCAGCCGCAGTCTTACCAGGCACAGCCATACCAGGCCCAGTCGTACCAAGCAGCGCCGCGTATCCAGAACCCGTTCCCTACGCCCAGTGCGAGTGCAACTATAGGTCCGAGTGCAAATGTGAGCGCGAGTGGCACTGATTACGATCCGGACATGGCTGCCCAGATTGCACAATGGCAAAGCGCCTACGCGCCGCAGACCGACAAGGACGGCAAGCCAGTCCCAGCAGCGGAGTATGCAAGGACTGAAGGCATGGATGCGGCCGCACAGCAGCCGGATAAGACCAAGACGGTTGTTCGAGAGGGTGGCGGAAAGAAATGGACGGATGATACATTGCTTGAATGGGATCCTTCCCACCTACGCCTCTTCGTCGGAAACTTGGCGGGAGAGACCACAGATGAGTCCCTTTTGAAGGCCTTTTCGCGATGGAAGTCTGTTCAGAAGGCCAGAGTCATCCGCGACAAGCGAACCACAAAATCCAAAGGCTATGGCTTCGTCAGTTTCAGCGACGCCGACGATTTCTTCCAGGCTGCCAAGGAGATGCACGGCAAATACATCCAGAGTCACCCTGTCGTCGTGAAGAAGGCCAATACCGAGATCAAGGCGACCAATGTCAAGAACAAGGCACACGGAGGCAAGAAGAATTACCAGAACAACAAAAACAATCGAAACAACAACAGCAACAACTCCAATGCCGGGGGCTATGAGCCGCATCTTGGTCCCAAGCCAGGCGCGGGTATAGCCAAACCAGGCCAGAAGACCAAGAACGGCCTGCGACTCTTGGGTTAGAGGAAGAGAGGGGGCTAATTCTTCATCAAATAACTTGGTAGCAAGAACTTTGGTCTCTGGTTGTTATTCTGCTACATCTGCATATTGGCGTTGGAGGGGCTATTAGGACATACCCAGTCATGGAAATAAAATAACGAAACTTTTTGTTTTAGAAGCATCTACATAATTGATGCGAGTAACATGGGAGACGAACAAATGCGCATACAAATTTTTTTTTCTTTTTCTTGTAACCTTTCAGTCAACTATTTTCTTGTTCGCCCAGTATACACCTCTAAATTTCATATGGGTATATGTTGTTACTCTTTAATCTAGCCGTCTAGACCTCTATGCCTTCAATCATCCACGCTAATTTGAAATCCCGACTCAGCTGTCCCTCTCTCTCTCTCTCCCTCTCTCTGTCCGCCCGCCTCCTCCTCTGCATCTTAACCAGTGCCCCCCATAACAGTATGTGAGGATAATGTTATCTCAAAACTCAAAATAAAAAACTTGATGCGATCCGTTGCATTTCATCCCATTTATATCTTTCCGGTTGATGCTTGAAATTGGTAATAGGTACAAAGACTTTCCGATGTAGGTGAAAAATTGTGAAAAATTGTGTGGTAGCCATTGGTTGTTGTCCTCAAATGATGAGAGATTATATATGAATATATATAATAAGAAAAAATAAAAAAAGTTCGGTGAAGCGGTATATGTAGATGACTTAGAAATCGCCAAAGTGGTTGAAACGAGTAATTTGTATATCCGAGAATAAAGTTGAATATTTTCATTCTTATAAATCGTTTCTTAGGTCCTTAGTCCATTGACTCATCTCTTGTAACTCGTGGGGTGGGTGGCGGCAGGCTGCCGGCTTGGAACAGCACTTCGCCTCTTTCTGTATTTTGGTGAAGGAGCCCTGCTGTTTCCTCTGAGCTGTCGTTCTCGAAGTCGCTCGCGCTCGACGACGGGAGATCAGCATCGACGTCAGTAACACGGACGTGGACTTGGACCTGAGCCTCCTCGCGCATCTTGGTGATCTTGATGTAATTGTAGGCAACAATTGCCAGCATTGTGGTGATCAAGCCAATGAAGTTGATGAGGGTGAGCTGGTCCTTGAAGATGAGAGAGGCGGCCGAGATGGTGACGACCTCTTTGAAAATGCCGGCAATGGAGAGCGTGACAACGGACGTGCGCTGCAGCAGGGCGAACTCGGATGCTGTCATTAAAAAGGCGATGCAACCAGGGAAAAGGAGGAACAGAGGCGTCATAAAGGTTCCCCATTCCTGGCTAAGAGCTTTCAGTCCCTCCCATAGGGGGCCAAAGCCTTCAACAGGAATTGCAATGAGAATGAGAGTCAAGAACATGACTGGCGTGAGGTAGAAAATACTAGAGAATGGGTTAGAAGTGGCGGGATTGCGGAGAAGTAGCATCTGTGTGAGACCCCAACGGAAGCCGGAGAAGAAGGCCGCCGTAATGACGAGAAGAAAGCCGCCAAGCTTGAACTCGACTTCACCAAAGACCATGAGGATGACACCCAATGTCATGGTTGCAATGATGGCTACGAGGCGCCAGGTAGGCTTTTCGAGGCGGAAAGCGAATGCGAACAGAAGAACAAATGCAAGAGATGAAGATTTGCACATAGCTAGGGCGCGTTAGAAAGCTGTGAGAGTGTGGCGATATATAGGTAGGCCTGTGTGACATTCACTTACTGTAAAAAGTCAAGCTAATAAACTTGAGCGAGGTGTTGCCCAAGCCAATATCCAGGCCAGTGGCCGCACCGCAGGGCCCAACTCTCGTCAGGTAAAACATCTTTGACATGGTGGCGCCGCTCGCCTCCACCTCATGTCGAGATCTTCCCATATCAGATGTGTGGGATCGCTGTGGTCGCAACGATGGTACAAAATAGAGAACTAGGGCTGAGAGACAAAATTGTACCACCATATGCAACGACGTGGTAAAGAGAGGGAAAGAAAAGTTGAGGCGGTCTTTATCGAACATCCATTTGTTGTACTGCGGAGACATTTGTGTCAGAAAAAAAACGTCGTCTTGCAAACCCAGCGCGTTCTCGGCCGCAATCGACTTACCAGTGAAATTGACAGCGAGAAAAAGTACCATAGCAGAATCAAGACCATGTTAACGAATAGTCTCCTGACAACGTCCTTATCCGCCTCCTGGCGCTCCTCTGCCGATATGCTCTTGTCGCGCACAATGCGCTGCCCCAGCTGAGTGATCCTTTGGCGCTTCTTCTGCCTCCGGGCGCGCTCTTTGTTGCTGAGCCCCGTCTCCTCATCGCTGTGCAAATCGTCGTCGCTGAAGCTAGGTCTGCCTCTCGCCTCGTCGTCATTCCCGGAACCGACTGATGTGCTGCTGCTCCCTCCGTTTTCCTCAAAACCGTCCGGGTGGTCAGGCGGGTTGGCTGAAAGGTGTTGTTGTCTGCCACCGCCGGCAGCCATTGGCCTCCCTGGGGCGGCCTGAGGCAGGCCAGGGGAGTTCATGGCGGCGCTCTTCCGTCTCCTGTGTCCTACAATCGGCTCCATCTCGATGTCTGTACTGTCGTCGGGCCGTCCACCGACCCGCGAGGAAGCCACTGATGCAGAAATGGCGCCCGTGGGAGCATATGGCGAGGCCGGTATAAACGTGCTCGTGGATGCGCCCTCTCGTTCACCCTCAGCTAAGGCGGCAGCGGCAGATCGAGAGAAATCGGGGAAGGGCTCGGTGGAGACGGTGTCGATGGTAATGGAGGATCGGCGTCGAGGGCGGGTTGGATAGTCAAATTGAGATTGGAACTGAGGGTGAAGGTGAGGGTGAAGGTGAGGTTGGGATGCAGGCGGTGGGCTTGAAGAGTGGTTGGAGGACATAGTCGCAGTAATGAAGGGGCATCCAGACGGGGTTCACAACTTTTCTGTTACCCAGGCTCGTGCCCATGCCCATGCCCGGGATCTGGTTGGCTTCTTCTGGGGGTTCAGCAAAGTGCCCACTCGTGTGTCATCGGCTGTGTCTCTCCGCCCGAGGGCCGCTAGAATGAGGTGAGTTATGCTGTGAATCGGGCACAATTATGGGCCACACACCTTGGAAGAGTTGCGAGAAAGAACACGCTGCCGTATCCGTAATTGATGAGCAGACACGGCTTGACACACGCGCGCGACGAGTCGCAAGGGGGTGGAGTTGGCATTGCTAGCAGCTCCAGCAGAGGTGGCTCCAGCCCAGTCTAGGGACCGACCTGTAGCCTCAAGGGCGGTCACCCGGCTCCGGGGGGTGCCTCCAGCGGGGTTCAGCCCCTGGAGCCATTGGGCTTAGGCTCCTCAGGGGAAGGGCAAAGAAGGTACTTGTCCGCCCTCTGCGTCGCAGGTACCGCTTGGAGCTCTCCCGCATCAAGTGCTCCAGTAACCACTCTGCGAAAAGTATTGAAGGCACATAACTGGTGTGTCAGACTCTCAGCACGCGCGCCTCACTGTCTCTGCTGCACGTTGTGCTCGGTGATTGTGGCTTCGGGTCGCACTGCAATTCAGGCGCAATACCAGGCCTCTTGCAACCTCATGCAGCGCTTCGATAATACCCGTGCCCGCCACGGTTGCGGCTTTATTGCTGTCCATGCCATTCATGCTCACATAGGCAGGACCTACGGCTGCGAGTATGACTATTGCCAATGTTAGCCCCAAACGGGGAAATTCGACTTTGCTAGTAAAAGCGCATCGTCGGGCTGGCTATATTGGCCCCGAAGTCTTGGCAGCGTTAGCATCAAAAAGGGCGGGTGGTGTGTCTCTGCAATGCTACGAGTACGAAATAGCAGGTAAGGCATATGCCAAGATGCTCATTTGCTCTTCTTTTGCCAAGCGTCGAATCCGAGTCCAATTGCGAAGACGCGGGCTCTTCTTGCTGTGTTCGGGTTGTCGCGTGCCCCGTCTATGATACATGCAATTCCCGTCAACTGCTTCGATCCGCTTGTGGATACGGCAGTCAAGTGCCAGGCATTAGCGCGAGGGCTGTACTTGTACATGGCAGAGACTGCATTCCATTCCATGTCCCGGACTTCCGCTGAATGAATCAATTAATCGCAAATCTTCATCTTCAGGCTGTATAAATATGTGCCAAGGCGGTGCTGTGTGGCAAATCTGCCGCATACCGCTTCCGGCAAAAGAATGTCACGCATGCATGTACAAACACAGGCTGGAAGAAAAGAGCAGCTTCTAAGCTCAGCATTCCATCCCGTCTCCATATTGGCCGCCCTCTGCATTCAATAGCTGAGAATCTGAGGCAAGTGTCGCCAAGTCGGTAGCGCTGTTTCGGCCTGATTTCGCCGTCCAGGTACCTACACTACGGAGTACTGCAGTATGGTATACAGCGGGCTCCTGAGATGATGGGCGGTCGTTACCCCTGTCTTATTTTAGTCTCAGCCGGCTTCCCCGCCTCAAAGGCATGGGCCTAACAAGTGCCACAGGGAAGCAAGTACCTTTCAGCAGACCCAGCACAGTACGAAGACGCTCGATGCGGTGGTTTGACTGCTGCACTTTAGCAGAGATCCATGTTATGCACTCATATACGGAGCATACGCGCATGTTCATACTCCGATCCTTGCCATGTCTGTGTGGATGATCTACGCCCAATTAATGCCGTAAAATCGACCTGACGTAGTTCTCTGTGCTACTGCCTAGGACTTGACTCAGCTGCCAATACTTGAGTCTTGAGTCTTGAAAGCTTTCACACCACTTTAGAGCCTGGCTATGCTAACATCCCAAATAGGAAATCTTATGTAAGAGTGAGTATGTAATCGCCTTCTCTGGATCTGGAAGCGCAAGTCACATGGCCGTTAGTCCATTTCAATCACAAGCGCGGTACGTTCCGCGCATCGGTACCTGCGTTCGCACCTCGGTCCATTCAACGGCTGCTGGAAGGGAATATCCAAGCTGAAGTCATTCTTGATAGGTACCTATAATTTACAATTTCAGCACAACACAACCCGGAAAAACTTGTCCTTTATCCTCTTCTTCATTTATTGTTCCATTCAAGCATATATCTCTCTTTTCCCATTCGCGTCCAAGCTGCTCAAAGCAACAGCTTCCAGCTTACACATATCCACACTGCCGCCAGTCTAGATCCGCCACCCCCGGTTTCGCCGAGGCTATTGTCAGCCGGGGCCCCTCTATAATTCGTCTACTGGTCGCAGCATCATGTCATAAAGCTTCATCTATACAACCAAACTACATCTCCTTCATTCTCTTGTAGTGCCTCGCATCCTCTTTCAACCTTCGCTGCTTGAAAAGGAGACCATCCACCGCCTCACACAATCCAGCAACCATGGAGGACGCTTCCTGCAGCGGCTCTACGCCCTTCAAGCGCCTCGTCGACCACCAATCTCGGGACCTGAGCCACCATCAAGACAGACATGTGAGCCGAGGGGCGTTTGGCCAGAACGTAAGCATTGCCTCCCTTCGCGTCGCTGTTACGCCATGACAGTCGAATTTCGCGCCGCAACACCATCGATGCTCACATTTTTCAATCCTCAAAGTCACAGACGTTCCGCTCTTCACCGCTGCATCCTGCCCAGGGCCAGCAGAATGACTTTGGCACCTTCATGGGCGGCGCCTCGGCCTTGCCCGGCTTCGAGAGCGATCCCGCCACCAGACTGACGCCGTCTCTGCCCTTTGCACAAGTCGCGCCAGCACACACAGCAACTCCTCCCAGCTTCTCGAGTCCCATGCAGACGACAGCGCCCATGTCCAGCGGGAGCAGCTGGGCCGCCGACTTCAACCGCTTCACGTCGCAACAGCGGCCGACTGCGCCCACGACTCTGGCGGCATCCCGCCAAATGAACCACTCTCCAGCCCAGACGGCTTTCCAACCGACCTTTTCACAGCCGAATTTTGCGTCCGCATTCGCGCCATCCATGTTCAACCCTCCAGCGAGCGCCGTCAAGGAGCCCGAGTTCGACCAGGAAATGTCCCGCTGGATGTCAGCGCACGGAGGCGGCAACATGACGGAGGTGGACGCTGCCATGGAGCAAATGGCCCTCGAGTTGGAAGAGACCGAAGCAATAGCCGCGGCAGTCAAGGCCTCTCGGCTAACGGATCTTGAAACCACCGAAATTGGCAACCTGGCACTCAACGACGACGCGAGAGTGCTAGAAGCCCAGCCAGAGCCCATCTTGGAGCAAATCCAAGAGCCAGAGCCAGAAAAAGAACAGGTGGACATTCTGCACCCCAAGTCTGCCGTCGCCGAAGCTGCCGAGAAGCTGCTCGACTGCGTCAAGCACGAGAGCGGCGAGAAGTGGCAAAACTCCATATTCCTGTCGCTGATGCGAGATTTCCGTGACGGAAGAAAGGATATTGTGGGCGATGAGATTCGCTCCACGACGGGGGAGACGACCCCCGCTGCTCAGCCCGTGGCTACTTGACTCAGGCCTCGTGGAGATCCTGGCAGTGACTCGATGTACGCGGATTCTGAAAGAATGTTTAGATCGTGTGTTAGACATCTCAGCTACACTACATTTTGAATGATTGCTTTTTAGTGGGTTTTAGGGAAAACAAACTTGTCTAGCTATTTGGGAGGAAGAACATGCATGGGCGCTACAAGGGAAATATACTTGGATGGATTGGGAGCTGGCGTTTTTATTTAATTTTATTCTTTTTTTTTTCATAATGAGGATAGCTTAGCAAATGTCCAACTTGCCATTGGACTTTGTTTATCATATTGTACGATATGCCGATTAATTCTTGGCTTTTCGGCTGTGCTTTATCTGAAAAGTGGTGCAGATTCAGTCATCTATCTACGGAGTAGTAGTTGTCCAAAATCATCTAAGATTGTCCAAACGGAAAATTACCATGTGCAATCAGAAAACGGTATACGCGCTAAAGGCCCGTGGAGTGCATTCATCAAATTGAACATTATATACTGGGCATCTATAAACCAGAAGACGTAGTTATACCTCAGGACAAAGGGCAATCATACGCCGCGTATACAAAACATCATCCTTTGTTTTTCGTATCTTTTTCAAACAGCAAGTCTATGGACAAACCAGCTGTAATACCCTCCATTCAAAAACCAAAACAAATTCTACTCTTTTCCCACCCGCTGACAGGGGAAATAACACATAATATTCACCTTGGATTGGTTCAAGCCGACTCGAGAACAACATACCAAGCCTTCACCCGAAGAGACATGGCGGCTTGGCCTGCTGCCAGAAACACAAAACCAGAATAATAAATACAAATACGGAAAATACAAAAAATAATCAATCCCTCCCCAGAAACCCTCAAAATAAGACAGGAGGGAACAGAGAAGGAAAGAAAAGCCACAAGCGCGTACGCTGGGCTTGCAGGCTGCAGAGGTGTCAGAGCGCCGATAAAAGAAGAAAGCTCCCAACGCCGTATGAACAGTAGCTGTCACAAAATGCAGGTAAGATGAACACAGATTTAACGCCTTGAAATGAAGGAAAGAGAAGCCTCCTTTTTGTGCATAGTAAAGAAAACGGGTAAGAAAATCCCCTCAGCCCAAATCTTGCACTGTGCCGAAACGCCATGATCAAAGAAGCCCCAGAAGAGTGTATAGCGCCGAAGAAAAGGCAGAGGGAATACAAAGGCCGAGCATCATCTATGTGGTAGATAGGCTGGCTAGGAAAAAAAAGATGGGTGGGAATCAGGACCACCAAAGACAGCCACAAGGCGTCAACTGCTCCAATTTCTGAGAATTCCAGGGTTGATTCCACATCTTTCGGAGCGAGCGGCTGTTTTGGGATGTTTCCTGCTTGTCCGAGTCAAGGTTCTCGTTAATCTGTATTTGAACGGGATTCCCAAGGCTATCCGTCACATTCGCCACACCCCGTCCCTTGTCGACGACCTGAACTTGGCGACAGAAAGGTCTGGGAGTGTTGCTGGCTTGTCGTCTCTCTACAAACTTGACACTTTTGGGGTAAGGGTATAAACCCTCCGAAGCATAGGGGTTGGGCACAGAGCTCATCGACGAGGCCGCTGACGAGGCCGCTGTGCGTGAAGTTGGTTTGGCTGAAGCGCTAGAATTCTGGATGGGGTAGATGAACACTTCGAGAGTCGTACCAGGCCAGGTGCATATCCAGGGTTTGTCACCGTCTTGAGCTCCATTAGGTTTGTTTGTTCGGGTTACATCATAATCGTCGAATGGTCCACCCATGTTGTCCCAACGTTTGGTCTTGGGGTTAGGAGGGGTGAAAGCATTCTCAGCGACAATGACTATCTTGTCATATGTAACCTTGAGCCACCACGCCGGGCCACGGTGAGGCTCAGATGTGTCGTTGACAAGTGTTAATATTTCATTATCAATATTGGGAGGCTGCGTGCCCCAGAGCAACCGGGAATCGATGAGATTGACGGCCTTGAGAGAGAGGCTATAGCATGACGTCGGTCTTTCGTTGGTCATATTGCTGAGCTTCATTTCGTAGTAGCTAGAAGGCATGCTACAGCTCCAAGCAGCACTTTGTCTGGTATCGTTGAAGCAAGCCTTGGGTGATTGGTTAGCAATCAGAGGTGGCAGCTCATATGTACCAGTAGGTAGATGAGGTAGACGTGGAGGGACAAAGGGTAAAGGTATGACATCAGACGTTGGCGTCGGAAACGACTGTGGATAACTACTCAAGCAGGTTAGCAATTGATGAGATACCAAATGAAAGTCAAGGCTGAGGGAAGACATACTCAGAACCGTGATTTGGCGGTTTATGGTGCGAGAGAACTGTTCCTATGACAGCACCCAGTATAACGCCAACAAGAATAACGCCTATAATTAATAGACATATTGCCCAGTACGGCACGATGCCCCAGAGCTTCTTCTTTGCCCTACGCTGCCACTTGCTCATTGGAGGCTTTTCCGCCTGGTTATGTGCAGCAGTGTTAATGTCGTGATGGCTGCGAGTGGATGGTCTAGACTGTGAAGGCTGAAGGTCTTCTTCTGTAGATGAAAATTCTGGATTTCGCGTCGCCACTCCAATCCCTCCAGCCCCAGTGACGGTTCGAGCTGGATCACTAGATGCGCCATCTTCTGGAAGCACAACCGCAGGAGGGGTAGCCTTTCGGACAACGGCCTGGTCGGGGTATCTTGTGTAAGGAGGCAGCTCTTCGGTATGTCCCAATGGTCCAACCAAACCTCCTACGTCTTCTCCATCCGGGCCGATTTGCCTTTGATAACCATCGTCAGATGTCGAAAAGCCAATGGGTATCTGATTAGGCGTCTCATCGCCGCTGGTGACAGTATTTTGAGGGTAGAGAGCATATGGATGCGCAGGGCCGCGGCCTGCAGCTTGCTCGGCAGGAGCCGAACCGTTGCTCAGTGTTCTCTGCGGGTACATTTGATACGGGTGCGAAGGGCCAGTGGGGCCTCGGTAAGGGCTCTGAGGCCGTATCCGAGGCGCATCTGAGAGCGACGCCAGCGCCGACGATAATGACGGATCGGTTTGAAGAGGGTTTGAACCATCGCTGCGGAGCGTGAGTGAATCATGAGGCCGCGGAGGCTTGACTGCGCTTGATGGGCGGGCAGAGGCAGATGCTGAAGGCTTGGAGAGGCTAGAAGTGGGCGTCTGTTCGTTGGTTGGACTTTGAGATAGTAATCGAGCTTGCGAAGAGGCGGCCGAGGCGCTGGTGAGATTGTTTGTCGTCGAGAATACTGATGAACTGTCGGTTGGTGATGAATTTGTTGGTCGAAAGCCGTCGGACACGGTGGCCGCAGCCAAATCGAATGTTTCATTTTCGCTGCCCTCTTCATCGGACAGCCCCAAAGATTGTCTCTGGATCGGTTTCCTGCGGAGAGCAGAGGCTCTTTTGTTGGGAGGATCCATCGCGATGGCGGCAAGGTTGGCGTCTTGGTGGACGGTGCTGCGGCGATGATGGCCAAACTGGGAAGCAAGGAGCAACTCAGAACGAAGCAGCCCCGAGAGGCCGCAGATGGCACCTGTCGGCGACCTCCCCCGATCGACCGCGATGAAGCCTCAAAATGGGCCGGTCGGGAAGAAGGGCGTCGCCAAGAGAGGGCGAGATGGAGGCCGAAACACACAAATTCGGCGATGGGTTAATTTTCGTCGTCCGTCTTTTCTCGGCACCAGCGTCCTGAGCGTATCGTGAGGGAAGCCGGCCGGGCTGTGGTTTCTGCGAGCGATGCGATGCGGCGGCGTCGACGTCGAATTGGCCGGCTGGGACGTGCAATGCGGCACTGGGAGGACGCTGTGAAGTCTGAGGCAGGAGGAGCGCTGAGATCGCGAGATAGCGAGCCAGAAGCGAAACAGGTGCTGCGGATTGCTGGGCCAAACGGCAGCGGCCACCACAAGCCGCTGAGCTGCAGCGCTAGAGCAAAGAAACCGGCGCCAAAAAACCTGATGGGCAGCACGGCAATTCAGTGACACGGTAGGTTTCGAGTCTAGCGCGGGCCTAGCCTGAAGAGGCCTAGACGAGGGCCGGAAAAAGAGGAACCTGCGCCATGCCATTGGCCAGCGGCGGATCTGGGCCGTGCTGCTAGCAGCAAAGCGGAGATGCGCCTGCATTTGGGGGGAGGCCCCTGGCGGAAGAAACTTTGACCAAGTCGTGCAGTACTTGTTCGCTGTCGTTTTCCTTAGCGGCAGAGCTGCCAGGCCACTGGCTGTGGAACTGTCCGTCAATGCTGATGTGCTCCTTCTGCCAAGTCGTGTATCATCCAAGTCCCTGAGAGTAGATGAGGCGACAGTCGCCTGACAGCGCGTATCTCGCCATATAACCCTACGGCAGACAGACCTCAGACAGCATCACGTGAAAGGGCATCGACGGCAGCAGGCGCATCGCTCGGGTACCAAGTACCTTATACGAAGTATTTCAAACTTTGCACATGTCAAGGTAGCGTGGCCGTGGTGGTAAAAAAAGAACAAAACGAACGAGCCACGGCCGCATTTCCCGCAAATTGCCTTGAGTGGCCGATCTTCATACAGCAATAGAGCCTGCTCCTTGGGTAGACTTACTGCTGATTATTCCGGATTATACGTTACATTACTCGCAGTACCTGTGCAATACACGCGTGCTATTAGCAACTTACCGATGGATATTTCAAAACGCCTACTCGCAATAATACGAGTGGCAAGGGGGAAGACGCTCAGTTCTGCATGAGACCAGGGACCGCTGCCGTGAGCCGAATGCCGCAAATCGCTGCCAAGCCCAGCCCAAGGACAAGCGACGATGCCAAGCCCCTCTTCTATCTGTTAAATGTTTAATTTACCGAGCTGCCCAGCTTCAGATGTCGCCGAACAGCAAGATGCAGAGCGTGGGAAGGATACGCATTATTCGAAAGGGTCGAATACTATTTGTTGTCTCATCTCATCACTACCTATATTGGCAGTAGCCTCTTCTGTACAATGTCTATCCTTTACTAACTTCCAGAATTGGCCTTGGCCGGGCAACATGTTAAAGGAACGCCGCAGGACCAGCATCAGCTACTACTAGCCTTATTGCGTTCAGCGCTGACAAAGTTGCCAAGGGCTTTGCTTTTCATTGTCAAACAAAATTACTACCATCAGCTAGAGGAGATTAACAAGATCAGGTATGGAGTAGACACTATCACTGCTCGTTAATTGGGTGTTGGGGCGAGCGCTGCCCCTGTCACAGCTAAGTGAATGCGTCGGATGGGACCAGCTACGGCTTATATATACTAATATTGAGTAGTGTTGTGGAGGGCACGAAAGACAATGTCCGCGAATGGGCGTTGGGCGTGTCTAGATTTTTTATCAAGGGGGCAAACAGGAGTATGTGTTGAGGCCATTCTCAAGTGAAGAGCGAGCTCATTGATTTCCTCAAATGCCGAGCAACTTGGTGTACATGATTTCGGCCCCCTTCCGCCCATACAAGGATGGTGTCTCTAAAGTACTTGTCAGCCCTCTTCTTCAATCCACCTGTACAACTATGGATCGAAACAGGAAACCATGCAAGATAGACTATCTGGCCAAGCCTGTCAAGCCGGCGCCGAATATATTAAGCATAGGCAGTACCTTGTGCTGAGCTTGTGGGAGCTGTGGGGAGGGGAAATTTCAGCATGTGGTGAAAACAAGCCAAAATTTGCCCCAACTTCGCTATTAACACCTGCTCGGCTGAGGCAAGCCCAGGCAGGGGCAGGCAATGTTTTAGATGTCAGCAAATTAAACAACTTAGCTTCCCGTCGTGGTTGTATCAACTCCACCGAACTTGCCGACAATTATTAAAGCCGATGCTTCCTGGCCAATTACCCTCCCCCCTTGCTCACATTCAAGTTTCGAAGTTGTGAGCACTCGATCTGTGATTTTATCCTTGGTTCTGATAAAGATATGTAGTGGTAGTTGGCATCAAGTAAACCGGGCTGGGCAAGTCGCAGCTGGATACTGTAAAGAAGAGTCGTGAAAGTACGGCTAAGCTAGAAATAGGTAGACGGCTTACATGAACCCAATGCATGGATTAAAGGCACTTACACGTCGCAGCGCATGCTAGACGAAGTCGCTAATATACACAGTGCTCCAAAATTCGGTGAAATCAACGAACAAATACGGCCCTAGCTGCGAGAAATAAAACTTTGCCCTCGATATTTAACTATCAGAGTATGCCCTCCATCTGTGCTGTGCTGCGGGTAAATCACAAAGCCGAATCTAAAGACACGAGATACAGCAGAGAACGACTTGAGTCGCATTACCCACTCCTGCTAGCTCTAGCTCTCGCAGCTCCTCAAGCGCATCCACCAGTGCTATTTACAGTTCCATGCACTACTAACCGAGCTATTAATAACTCGCTCGGACTAGACCTCGGTGGCTTCTGCGCCCATCTACAGGTGCCGACAGGAATTGGTAGGATTGCTGGTGGTGGTATTAAAGTCTTCTCCATCGCCAAGAAGCAAAGACAGGGCAAGAGATGTTAAACAGTCTCGGGACCAGGAAAAGAGACAAATGCGCATCCCGCGGGATAAGAAAAAAGAGCGCTCTTCCTCGTGAAAAAAGAGCCATGCATACCATGATTCCTCGTCGTGGCGCTGCTCGGACGCAGCTCCGCACGCCCCCTCTTCCTCCCACTTATGTCAGCCAGGCCAGCTTCTCAATTCAACTCGACTCAACTCGCCGCCATCCAGCCATCGTCCAAACTCTCTCTTCCAGATAGACCATCTCTGCGCTCAACCCAAAAGACCGGCTGTAACTTTGAGCAGCGATCATGCACCAGCTACTACGACCCTAACGACGAAGAAGATTTAAAAGGGAAAAAAGAAAAGGAATTCCTCGACTTCTAATCCGAAAATCACCGAGCCCCGGGCATTGCTATCATATACCAAAGGACCCACGAATCGAGCCTTCACTATACGGTCTTCTCTCTTTGCTTTTCTTTCGTCTTGAGCTTCCTCGCCATGGATCCATCTTCGGGGCCTCTTGGGCCATCTATTGCAGCTGATGCTGAGCTCGAGCTCGAGCGCGATCATCATTCCCAAAAGGAGCTTGCGCACGATAATCATGAGCAGCAGCAGGAGCAGCATCAAGAAGGACTTCAACCTGCTGCTATCGAGCCGACTGTCGAGCCAGCTCTTGAGCCAGCTACCCCTGCCGCCGTCGACAGTGCTGTTGTCGCCAGGGATGATGCTGAAGATAAGCTTCTCACACCCCCCGACGCCGCAACCTTGGACACAGCTCCCGTTGCCACGCATCTAGCTCGATTCGAGTTTAGCGATCGCGGCACCAAGATCTTGATGGTCGAATGGTATCCTGGGGCGGGTGCGAACGGCTTGTCCAACCAAGATACGAATTCTGCTGCTGGCGCAGTCTCCAGCGATAAGACCAGCGCTGCTGGTGCTGCTGCTGATAATGCATCGGCCACGCCAGCCCGTGTTCCGGCCAGCCCTGTCGTTGATGCCGCTGTCTGGGAGGTTTCGTGGCCGGGGAAGTCAACCTTCCTTCCGGCTAGGGATACCGATGAGAACGACGCGCGACGCCGTGTCTACTTCATGCTACCTCCTGAAGCGTCGGTTCCGGCAACGGTAACTATTGCGCGCCCTGGGCGGCCCAGCTTGGTTCTTAAGCCGCTGCCAGCCATATTTCCAGAGCATTTCCATGCAGAGTCTGGCCCTCGAGGGGTGTTACACACGATATGGGCTAAGAAACGCCTAAGGGAGCTTGAACTAGAGATGGAAGCTGAGATGAGGGCAAACGCTGAGAGTGTGGGCCTTGAGATGGCTCTGGCGGAGAAGCAGTGGATCGTCGACAACTTCTTGCGTGCTCCTACAGCACCTGCTCCTACGAGTCCTCGCTCCCCCGTCTCTGGACGCCTTGGCGACAAGCTCAAGGGCTTGCGTCTGGCTACCTCGCCGGCAGATCTGGTGCCGAGCCCAGCAGGTAAGCTGTCCGCCAGAGAGAGAAGAGAAACCCCACATCTCAATCATTCATCTGCTCGTGATTACGAACTAACAAAAAGTGCCCCTGAACCAGCAAATACGTTTACCAGCCCTGATAGCCAGTCCCACATGCTATCTCCCCTAGGAGGTGACATTGCCGTGTCTTCCTTCTCGGCCATTTCACGCAGCCACCCATCCGGCCCGATGTCTCTTGACGCTGCTCTTAGTGGCGATGCGGCTCCTTTACAGCCTGGCTCTCACGACGCTGAAGATGACCTGTTCGCACTGCCCATGAGCCCTCGGAGCCCAGATATGATCAAGAGCCCGTTTAGCGCCCTTGGCGTGGGCCTCTAAGACACAGCGCATCCATAAGAAATTCGGAAGAAGAATGAAGAAGTAAGGCAAAGAAAGAGGAGAAGAAGAAAAAGGAAAAAAAGAAAAAAACTAATTTCAGCATTGCATAGCCTGTTGTCGCAATTTTGTAACATTGATACTGATACCCTCGGGACGCCTTCCTTTCATCAAGGCCCGCCACATAGAGAGAAGGATGCTCGGTGATATAGACTTTTTTTTCCACTGATGTTGAAATCAGAATATCTGTACTCTTCGTCATGTAGACAACCAAAAATTTGAGAGTTTCCAACGTGAAGCTCATACTTTTTGTTAATAGCTTATGCGGCTTGCCTTGTTGCCATTTATTTTGACCCAAAGATGATAGAGATGTGCTATTATTTAGAATAGCACATAGAGACGAACAGAGTAATCCCGTGTGTGAGTATTACGAGTGCAAAACTGAAGATGAAGCTCTTTTATGGGATATATATCATCTATGCCACCAACTGGTTACAAAGGAAGACAGAAATTGCGACAAGTAGGACAATACGTGCTATAATCTAAATACATGAAGAAAAGAAAAAAGAGCCTTTTGGTAACCCATTGCAGACACCCGCCTTCTATCAGCCAGCAACGCAGCATAATATAGTCTCATGACGCTCTCCTGAAGCCAAAAAGCAGAAAAATTACCTCCAACCACCAACCCGGCCTTCATCCCACCTCTCCTTACGCTCCTGCCGCAAATAATACTGCACCTTGGCCTCCCTATACCGTCTAATCCACTCGGCCGCTTCCCTCTCCGACGTGGTCGCCTCCCCGCCGCCGCCGTCCACGCCGTCCCTATCCAGAAAACTCTCCTCCATAGCCTGGCACACGAGGGCCTGCTCCTGGACGCTCTGGTTGAGCAGCTGGTAGAGCGCGGCGGGGCTGAAGCGCGCGAGGGCGAGGTCCATGTCGGACTGCTTCTGGCGCCACTGGCGCTCGAGGGCGTGCATGGAGAGGAGCTGGGCCTGGGCGGCGGAGCGCTGGTGGGCGAGGCGGGATTCGAGCTCGGACAGGCGCGTGGCGAGGTCGATGTTGGAGGAGAGCGCGGCGAGGAGATCTTGGTGGGAGGCTTGGAGGGAGGGGTGGATGGAGGAGGGGGAGTTTGTGAGGCCGTTGAGGAGGGATGGGCTAGAGAGGATGTCGGCGAGGTCTTGGATGCTGTTGTTGTTTTAGTAGAGGTTAGCTGGTTGTTTGTGATGTAGCTTCTTTTGTCGTGGGATAATCGTGTATATATGATGCATGGCCACTTTGACGAAGCATGGAGAAGGAAACTCACGATTTATCTTGGAGCACCTGCGGCAGCCATTGGTCTCCCGGATCTGGTATATCAGCGCTCCTGGCTGTTACCGCCGGCGGAAGAGGCGGTGTCGGTACTCCTCCCGCCGCTGCTGTCGCGGCTGCGTCCAGGCCGGCTATCACTGAGCTCCGATACTGCTGCCCCGCCTCGGACAAGGTCGACGGAGGTGGAGGCGGCGCGGCGCCGCTTGCCGGTGTGCCGATGCGGCTGGGCTCCTGGCTGCTGGGCTTGGGGGGGAGGATCGGAGGTGTGGGTGCGTGGGAATCGGCAGGGAAGCCGGACATGACGGAGAGCGTTTTGGCGGGTGAGTTGTGAAGAGAGTGCTACGGAAGATTGTGACGATGCTGGACGCTTAAGCGGCTGCTGTCGTTGATAGTGGGCTGCGGGCTCGTGGCTTGTGGGGGTTTGGAGGGGCGCTAGTACGAATCGATCTAATTGTGGTTTGCGGGGGATTGAAGCTGATTCAAGTCTATGCGGTTAGGCAGATGCATGATGCTACTCTGTTTTTGCTTTGGAAATGCAATGGAACTAGTGGAGATGGCGCATGAAGAGTAGTAAACGAGAGTTGGTTTAATCAAATACATGGGGGGAAACACAATTCCAGATCTGGATACATGTGCCTATTCCAGAGCTAGCTCTCAAGCATCATGGAGCTTAGACCTTAGCTATAGACCACTTCCTAATAGATGGTCAGCAACAGGGGATGCTCCATATGTACGTGCTCTTATTTATGATTTAGAGAGATTTTTTTGAACTGGAATGTTACGGTTTTGATATTATCGATGCTGATTGGCTTTGTTTTGGGATACGCGCTTGTGAATGCCTCCAAGTTGTGGATGCGGAAGATGCAAGCAGCTGTTGCATACCTCCAGTCGAAATACCTTAGCAGTCTTCCTATTGCCATAATCGTTAAAGCCACTGAATTTCAAGGTCTAGAGGTATCCATATCTCTCTTGAAGTGTATAGATACCCTATAGTTATTCAATTTATTACTACTTCTATTATGGAAGGCATTGTGAGCTCTGCACTCGTTACCCTGTAGTATAAATGCAACAAACTTCCCCAGATTGCCATTGACTAGGGAATCCTGCAGGATGCATAATAGTATGTACATAAAAGCCGGTTTATGCCCACACAATCATCACATGAGCGTGAAGCCAATCAACGGCGATTTACAGCCCTTATGCCCACCTAGGTAGGTAATTCCTGCTACCCCGCCATTAAATGAACGGGCTGGGAAACGAATCGGACGAATCATCGACGTCAACGTCACGACAGTATGAGAAGATGCCTCGGCTGGGCAGCATCCAAATCAAAATTAACAGGTGATGGATATGTCATGTTCAGCTCTGGGGGGAGAGTCTAGATCTTACGACGCAGAACGCTGAAAGCCAGCATGTTTCTGGGAGAGTTCGATGTGCGGCTCCAGCTGTGGAGTTGGGGACATACTATCAAAGCCCCCCTCCCTCATAGACGAATGATGATGAAGACAATACTAATTACCTATCAATACGGCCAGGAGGTTTGGGAACTTTGAACAAAAAATGTTACTGAGGCGCCTTTCCTACACAAATCTGCGTGCCTGCGGTAATCCCACACGGGATGTGTTGCCAAGGACGGATAGTAGGCTTCAATTAGCCGTCTTGTTTTCAACTCCCCACTCGCTACTTTAGCCCTCCCGGAGTTGTTCAAGGGTCCGAAGCAACAACCTTTGACGCCCTGCCCTTTAGCTGCTTGGTTGCTTCATAAATGTCCTGTTTTCTTCTTCTCGCCTCTCATAATGGCTCTCTCCTCGTGTTTTCCAAGGCCCCCTTACACTCTCGCTCTTATTATTTTTACTATTCATATCCTGTTATAGGTCATATTTGAATATGTGAATGAGAAGGGTGACTACATATATTTTATTTGCTTCAGGACAAACAATCTCTTATTGCTTCAGTTTGGTTCAATTTGACGAGTTTCCTGCAGTTTCCGTCTTTGGGCCAAATGTATATGGCCACTCGACACTGGCGGACATTCAGTCATAAATAACCGTATAATTCCCCTTTGGAGTACCGAAAGCCATGGCCTTGATCGAGGCTCTGTTGGAGCATGTCTCCATCAAGAAGCTCTCCATCGCCCTGGTTGGCATTGGTGCATTCTTGATGACAATCAGCCGCATAAGGGAGCATCGCCGGATCAAGAGACTCGGCAACTATGGCCCTTCGCTCCAATCTCGTCTTCCATTCGGTTAGCTCTACCCTTTGTTCCTGAGCATCTCCTTCACCTGTGCTACATATAACTCAATAGGATGGATGGATATAATATTTCCTTTTTATAAAAGAAAAAAAGAGAGAGAAAGAGAAACCACGGCTAATGTATACCTACCTCAAATAGCCCTGGACTTTGTCTACTATGGCATCCGATCCACCATTGCCCACAAGAACATGGAACTATGGCGAGACGTCTTCTTCTCCAACTCCTGGACCTGCGAGATGCGCATTCTCAACCAGCGAGTCTGCTTCACCGCCGACCCCGAGAACATAAAGGCCATGCTCGCAACGCAGTTTCACGACTTTGGCAAGGGAGAGCAGTTCCACAGAGAGTGGGCGCCCTTCCTCGGCGACAGCATCTTCACCACAGACGGCATGCAATGGCACAACAGCCGCCAGCTCATCAGGCCGCAGTTTACGAGGGACCGCGTGAGTGACCTGCACTGCTTTGAATCTCACATACAGACGCTCTTCAAGACCATGGCAAACGGAGGCCCGTTGGAAGGCGAGAATCAGGCGGTCGATCTTGGCCGTGCCGATGGAAGACGAATGGACATCCGCGACCTCTTCTTCCGCTACACGCTCGATGTTGCTACTGACTTCTTGTTGGGAAGTGATGTCAAGTCCCTAACGTAAGACTGTGTCTGAATATCTTACTCTCTCCAGGAAACGGCAACCAACAGGCAGACTGACCCGTCATTTAACTCATAGAACCCCGAAACAAGAGTTTGCTGAAGCCTTCAACGAAGTCCAACGAGTCCAGAACATCCTGGCTCGCGCGTACAAACTGCAGCCCCTGATCCCCAAAAAGTCCTACTACGACGGCCTCAAAGTAATGAACCACTTCGTCAACCACTTCATCCAGCGCGCCCTGCGCCTGAGCCCCGAGGAACTCGCCGCCCACACCAAATCCGACAAGGACTACACCTTTCTGCACGAGCTCGCCAGCTTCACCCGCGACCCCAAAGTCCTGCGCGACCAGATCGTCGCCGTCCTGCTCGCCGGCCGCGACACCACCGCCTCAGTCCTCTCGTGGGCAATCTACGAGCTCGGCCGCCACCCCCACGCCGTAGCCCGCCTGCGCACCGAGATCCTCGACACCGTCGGTGAGGACCGCCTCCCCACCTACGACCACCTGAAGAACATGCCCTACCTCAAGGCGGTCCTCAACGAGACGCTGCGCCTCTATCCCGCCGTCCCGTTCAACGTCCGCGTCGCCCTCAAGGACACGACCCTCCCCCGCGGCGGCGGCCCGGACGGCTCCGAGCCGCTCCCCGTGCTCAAGGACACGCCCGTCGGATACTCCACGCTCGTCATGCAGCGCCGCGCAGATCTATACCCCCCGGTCTCGGACACCTTCGCCGACCCGAGCGTCTTCAGCCCCGAGCGCTGGGCGGCGTGGCACCCGAAGCCGCACGACTACATCCCCTTCAACGCCGGCCCGCGGATCTGCATTGGGCAGCAGTTTGCCCTCACGGAGATGAGCTACACGCTGTGCCGCATCTTTCAGCGCTTCGAGCGGGTGCAGAGCTTCATGCATGAGATTGACGGCGGGGATCCGCTGCTAAAGTCGGATATTGTGCTGTCTCCGGGACAGGGAGTGCATGTGGCGTTCTGGGAGCCGAAGAAGGAGGCGTGAATGTTATATATATATATATATACGAATTGAAAGAGAAGAGGAATTAATATATATATATATATATAAAGGAAAGAAAAGAAAGAAGTATGAAAGAGAAGAGGCTGAAATTTATGATTTATGATTTGGAGAGACATATACATGAACACCTGCTCTCCTTCTTTGTTGAAACATGGTGTATTTTTCTTTACATAGGTATATTGTTAACTGAAATCAATTCATGCTATATCTCATATCCCTCCTTCGCCATTCTCAGCGGTATGATAAATGAAAACCGTAATATCACCACCCCTTGGTTATATGTAAATACCCCAAGTGAAACAAAAAAGACACTCTTCAGACGCGCTTTCAACCTTGCACGACCCTGGCTGTGTAATTCCAAACTACACCACAAAAAAAAAGAAACATCACATTCACACACACTCTCTCTTTGCATCACATCACTCCTTTCATTTTCTGCCAAAGCTATCCTTGACGGCCTGACCAAATCTCGCAATCGCCGCATTCATATTCTCGGGGCTTGCCGCAGCAAAAGTGGCACGGAAGTGCAAGCTCGGCAGAGGACCGGTATTCTCAGTAAGGAACCATGATCCTCGAGCGACGAGCACGCCGCCCTTGATGCACGAGTCGAAGATTTCCTGCTCGATTTCTAGGAGGCTGCGGGTGCCGGCGTTGGGGTGCTTGGTGTGGTCGACGGTGAACCATAGCTATAAGAGAAAAAGTGTTAGAATGTCCATCTCACCAAGTAGCTGCAAAAAAAAAAAAAAAAAGTGTAAATAGAAGGGGGGAGTGAGACAAGACAAGACTTACAAACATGCCGGCAGCGGGTGGCGTCCAGCTCACAAGATCCCGCGGTAGGTTGTCTTCACAGGCAGCCAGCAATGCGTCTCTCTTCTTGGTGTACTCTAGTCTCAGATTCATCAGCCACCGCAGGTAGCCCTCGTGACCCCATGTCTCGTCTAGCAGCTTGTGGACGATGACTTGCGAGAAACCGCTCGGGCCCTGGCTGGCAACCTCGGCGTGGCGTTGGTATCTCTCGACAATCTGCTCCGAGGCGACGATCCAGCCCATTCGAGATCCCGGGACCAGGACCTTGGAGAGGGAGTCCATGCGCATGACTCGGCCATCGATGTCCATGCTGACATATGTAGGTATCAGAGAGGAAACAAACTCTTCGACGTTGTTGGGCGCCGGGGCATCGGGCTGGCCTCGGCCGGTGTAGGGCTGCATCTGGAGGAAGTAATAGGGTTCATCCTCGAGGATGAAGATGTCGTGCTTCTGCGCAACTCGGTAAATGGCTTGCCTTCTCTCCGTGCCTTGGGTTGCTCCCGTTGGGTTTTGTCCCGAGGGGACGGTATATAGAAGATGAGGCTTCCTGGATCCCCTGGCTTTGGCGTCCCAATTGGTGAGCAGCTCGTCCATGGCCTCGGGGATAAGTCCTTGCTCGTCAACGGG